ATATGTTACAAAGGAAATCTCTGAATAGAGATCCTTCTAGAACAACAGTTAGAATGCTCGACAGTTTAGTAAGGTTTGTAATAGTTTGTAATACACCTTCCCAAAATATTGCTTATTTATTTGTTTTTTTGTAATTGCATGAACGGTTATATGTTTAAAACACAAAAAATGGAAGACAAAACATTAATACAATAAAACTAAGCATCAAACATACGATAGACAATCTAAATTTTAAGTATTTGCTTCTAATTTTACTTGTAAATTTACAAAGAATTTAGCATTTATCAAGTTGAAAAATCACAAAATTGTGGCTTAAATAATCTAGGAGTCGATATTTGTTTAAACAGTGGAATCCATAAAGTAACGCCAGTGGTGGAGAAATTGAGAAGCAAAAGGTTAGCGTGGTATGGACATATTATGCGACGAAATGATGGGGACATAAACCAGAAAGTGTTGAGATTGAGTGTGGATGGCTACAAAGGAAGAGGAAGACCGAAGAAAGTATGGATGGATTGTGTGAAAGAGGATATGCTTAAGAAAGGAGTGGATTCAGATATGACGGCTGATAGAGATGTATGGAAGAGCAGCACATACTGTGCCGACCCTCCATAAGGGATAAGGGCAAGTGGATGATGAGTGGAATCCATTTAGTAATATAATATTTATTAGTCACTAGTTGTTCCCGTGCGGCTTCATCCGCACAAAATTATGAAAGTTTAATTATGTTGTTTACATTTGTCAAATTATCAATAACAAATGTTAAAATGACATGACATGACAAAGCATGGCAATCTTGCTTTCATGATATTGGCAGCAGCTTATGGTCTCTTTCCCACATTAGGGTTTTTATACAAAATATTTACCCCCTATGTTTTATGAAAATATATAGCCTATAGCGTGACGTAAGTGTAGGGCTTTTTATAAAAGAAGGAATTGTTCAAAAATATGTTGTAATTGCCGACATCTTAGGCAACAAAGAAGTGTGTGTTTACGCTTTATTATAATAGTATAGAAGAAAAATGTCAATAAATTTGTCTTACAGATTATCACAAGCCCATTGTCGTTTAATGTATCGAACAACAATATTACCAGTTGACGCGATAATGGCTGTTTCTTTAGTAGATTTATCTATGCAAGATTGCACATTAAACGATACTATGGACGCGTTGCATTCAACATTCCAGAAATATCCAGATTTCGATTATCTTCGTACAGCAAAAACATTATTAGATAAATTAAATCTACACCAAATATGGAAAGACGAATTACTTTACTATGCAAAATTATTACAAACAGATCATAAAACTTTAGAAGTAAATATAGAAAAAGGTTGTACTAAATTATTTTCAAAATATGACGAAGTTATTGATGATAATATACCTTTATCGTGTTCTTTAATAACTAGTACGTATTTTAAAAAGGATGAGAATCCAAATCATAGTAAATCAAATAAAGAGGAATATACAGAAAAACAAATTATTAATGACAGATTAGCTGCAACTTTAAGAAAACATGCTACTTTACATAAAGGTGAAGATAAAGTACCAGATACTAGAAAAACACGAAAAAGAAAACGTAAAGAAATAACAGCAGATGTTGGTGCTGTTATAAAAAATAAACCGAAATTCTCAAAAAAGAATAAAAGGGAACCTGAAAGTGAGGAATGTGATGCAATGTTAAATGCTGTTCCAAGTGTAAATGATATTTTTAATGATTTAAATATAGATATGAATAATTATGACACTGATATAATAGAAACTCAAGATAACATTGAAAATGATCCTGAAATTATTGTTGAAAAAGATAAAGGAGATTTAAAAGCAAACAAAACCAACACAGAAAGTAAATCTAGTTCTAAAACATTGAATTTCTTAAAACAATTTCAATATGTTAAGAAAGAAGATCCAAATAAATCTGAGGATAATGTTCAAGATAATGAAATAGTTTTATTAAGAAGTATTAAGAAGGAATCAAATCAAACTATAACAAGTTTAAATAAACCTACTTCTAGTTCTCAAATATCTATATTTGAGACAGATTGTGATATCGATTTGGACTTATGAAATTAATATCCAGCTCTTCTTAATAATTGAAAAAATAAGTACTGTATTAAAAGAAGTAAAATATCCGGCTTGAAGGACTATATGTTTAGATTTTACTATTGCGTTGATATGTAAATCATGTAAATATATGTATTTATCATTCAGTATGTGTTTAAATTCTACAAGTATCCATAATTAAGAATCTAATTTTTGACAAAAAAAAACTTTAACATCTACGGTGCAGAAACACCATATCAGTAAATTACAAAACTTTCAAAACTTGTTGGTTTAAAAATTATTTTACGACAAAAAAATCACAGTAACAAATTTAACTAACATCTTATTGGCGATTATTTGATGTATTTGATAATAATTCAAATATCGATTTAACGGCAAAGGAAACAGTGTCCATTTCCAGACTACTGACGCATAAAGGACCGACTGGGGCCGACTGGGGCCGTGGGAACACACTCGACCCTCGAACATTATACTCGATATCTTGAGGACGTCAAGACATTGTAATGTAAACAACTGTCGATACGAGTGGATACTTCCTCGTATGTAAATAGCGATGATTTTGCATGCCTTGTTATTTATACGTTTGATTGTTATGGTAAGGTATAACGGGAATCCTTAACTCAAGTTACTGTAATTTTGTTATTCTTTACAGACAGTTTATTTAGAAAAAGTTAGATAACTCGTAAGCTTTAGCTCTGTGTCTTCTATAAACCCTTACTAGCAAAACTGCATTGCTATTCTTGTTTTAAGTAGGGGATAAAATCCATCAACTAGACGCGAGTAAGTTAAAAGGTCTCAAGTTAGTGAGGCAATCATTTCTGTATCCTTTTCAATCACGGTTATAAGGTTGCTGAGATATGACGGGTATAACATTACATGATTAACTGAGCTTCAATATACAATTAATTAAGCTTCGCAAAAACTAAGAGGGGCCCAGTTATGGATGATGGCATGGCCTTGATTAGCAAAGCAAAATCTTTTTTACTGCAATCATATAACTTGTAAGACAGTTAAAAACATTAAATTATACGGGCTTTTATAACTTGCAGCAAAGCTGATGGATGGGATTGTACTTCAAACTCATTGTTAGTTATATTTGAAGAAAAAAATGTTGAATATTACATTTATTTGAAGCGAAAAAAAAGTTGTCGAAGTTTGCAGGCCTTTTATATGATGAGGTGGCTTACAAGTGTGTGGAACTCTAAATTCGCCGAAAAAGCTACGCGAATGCGATGAGCGGCATTGCATACCTTTAATCGACGGAAAAGACGCACATAAAGAGTATAATTCCTTTTCCTATGCGTTTCCTCCACTTAAATATATACATATCTCTACTAATATTATAAAGAGAAAAGATTTGTTTCTTGTATCTGTTAAAACAACTCAAAAACTACTGGGCAATTTTGAAAATTCTTACACCGTTAGAAAGCTAATTCATCTGCGAGTAACGTAGGATTTTTATTGTTTTTATTTCTTCACTTCCAAGCGGACAAAGTCGCGTGCAACAGCTAATAGTTGATAAATTAGATTCAGTGCTACCTTGCGAGTATAACAAATTCATAGAGAACGTTAAATAAGAACTTTGTAGACGACAATTAAAAGACCCGTCATCCGTGCAGCGTAGAGCCATACTCTATCACATTATGCACGGTTTGTCTGTTGGAACCATGTGGACACATGTCACGAATTCGAAACGATCTTTTTATTTTCGTATACACGATTATGGTCACGGCGAGTTCAAACGGGTTTTTAATTTGACACAGTTTATTGCTTTGTCTCGGCGTTTGATGGCGGTGGGTTAGGTGCAGTGCAAGTTCAAGTGGATAATATTAAATGACAGATGTACCTATTTACTTATTCAATAACTAGCTCTCGCCCGCGACTACGTCCGTGCGGAATTAGATAACAAAATTCCTAAGTAGCCTGTTCTTTAAAACTATGTATATTCTCAAAATTGCGCTAAATTTCAACGAGATCCGTACTAGAGATCCCTGGTGACAAACATCCATTACTTCTAAACATTCGAATTTATAATATTAGTAATTAGTAAGACTTTCCCATAATAGACATAAATGACGAACAGTTAAAAATTGTCAAGTATGAAAATATTGCAATAAACGAACAAACATTTTGTACAATGACATCGTAAATCTTTTGCCAATGCCGAGGTAACGTTTTATTGCCATTAATATGTTGTGTATTGGATAATACATTAATTTAATTCATTATTGCAACGTTAATACAGTATCGGTCTTATTTTAATTGAATTGTGGCCTTACAAAACCCAGCAAAAATATTTAAATGGATTTAAATCACAAAATAGTGGGAGCGGAAAAAAGTGAATAATCCTTTACCCTGTTACCTCTCATGAATCAAAATGTCTCTTTCAAATTTAAAAAAAAACAAGTGAAGTGTTCTAAAAAGATGTCTTTAGTTTATTTTTTATTTATACTTTACTTTTCCGTGTTTACAAATTTTTCAATATAATATTTTGTACTTTACCCGATAACCTAAATAAAGTTTGTTAACCTTTGACATTTTAAAACTTCTCTTTTCTCTTTATCTTTAAAAACCGTCTCTTAATCGATGAACTCGATATTCAACTTTCGTTAACATAGCTGAACGAATTATTTAAATTTATAATGCAAACCGGAATACATGCATGGTACAATATGTGTGTGCTATAGAATTTTCGCCCAGATCTCAAATCGGTACTGGTTGATCCAATCATCATCATCATCACCAGCTCTCTATATGTCCCCACCGAAGGGCTCGGAGCCTACCCTAAGTTAGGCTGACTAGGCCATAGTCAACCACGCTGGCCCACTGCGGGTTGGTTGCCTTCACACATATCTTTGAATTTCTTCGCCGATATGTGCAGGTTGAATCACGATGTTTTCCTTCACCGTAAGAACGTTGGGCAAATTATGTACATATGAAATTTCGAAAAATCGAAAATCTCATTGGTACATGACAAGGTTCGAACCCAAGACTTATAGATTACAAGTCAAGTGCTTAAACCACTGAGCCACCGACGCTCGATCCAATCATCTTGTAACAATTTGCTTCCATTTATATTAGGCTCTTAATAATTCTTGAGCATGTCAAAAGCATTATAAAGTAGTGAAATTATTGTTTTCAAGTTACTTTTTCAATCTGTATATTCCAGATCGTATTTCGATACTGCATGGTTAGATTTTCTTTAATATAATCGCATTGAACAATGCAACTTTATGACGCGCCAGTCGACGGAAGTTATGAAAACATTGCTCCCCTTACGTTGTATACATTAGAACAAGTAAAACATAAACACGATCTCTATCCGGGTACAAAATAAATCAAACTCTTAGAACATTAAAAATATTATGTGTTCCTGGACACCGACTCTTTAACTTATCTGTATATCACCTGTAGGAACTTGCAGAGAACAATAAACCTTATCACAGTTAAAATTAAAGCTACTATGCGTTGTTAAAGTATATAGGAAGTAGTTTTGAGTAGTAACTTTTATGCGGTCCTTCAGGACGTATCTTCTTTGCACATTCAGTTCGTGTTCTTATTACGTATAAAAGCGAAACGTGATGTTTTCTTGTTGGCTCTACATTTATAGTGTAATAAAGAGTGAGTTTTAGAAATCTCATGGAGATACGTGAGCTAAGTTAAATTTTAATAACTTATTCTGAACAATGCACATTACGAAGTTTTAGGACTTTTATAGGAACATTTAAACCCCTCATTTTTTCTGGAATATATTTTTTTATAAAAAAAAAAATCCTTTATTTTATCAGATAGACACAAAAGTAGAATACACGTTATGTGTAAAAATTATTTTAACTAAGGTAAAGTCATAACTGACGTAACTTATTATAAGTCATCACAAGTGATTAAATAGGAGTTAAAAACATGTAATTTTAATCTCTATAAGATCATGTGAAAATACCAATATTGAAAGATAACTCTCCAAGAGCTCTCACCGCCAACGGTAGCGGGAAATTAGATTTCTTATTTGACGGTCGAGATAGCGTGTCGTTTATCATCCGGAGGTGACACTTCATCATGTCACGCTGCCAGCTCCCTTTGTGCGGCCATTGGACTGTGAAACGGCTGACAGCCGAGAAGAAGCCGAAACGCGTTATTGGACCATTGAAAAATGGCGGTCCAATTATGTACGTCCTACTCGAAGACGGCCCTAACATATATCAAACTACTAGAATATACAGATTTAAATATCAAAGGCATCTCGACGTTTTAAAAGTGCTTTGTCTTTCAGAAATTACTATTTCGAAATGCACGAATTTTTCATGGTTTCTTTTTTAAAAATGGCCGGAATAAATGTGTCATCGGGGCATTGACCTTTATGACGAACGACAAACTCGTAATCACTCGAGATGTTATTCAAATTGATGTGTCCAATTTTGTACTTGGACGCGTCATATCTTATAATTTTTACCTACGTTGGTTAATGAAATATAAAAATACATTTAAAAAGACATCGCATTAAAAAATTAATACGTTGTGTCATTTTGCACATTCATTGATGTGTAAAATTTTAATCGCATCGTTTATTTTATAATCCGTCTTGATGAATAATTACGGTGTCATTTTTTATTAACTAAAATATATCGAGGGTTCCAACGACAAATATTTACATATAAGATATAAATTTATCTGCTAGCGTTGTATTTTGAATTCCAGAATGTCTAAAATAACTCTCGATTTTTTTTAAAGTACTAATTATTCATTCAATACATTAAAATACAAAAAAATATTTAATCTATTCCAGTTACTAAACTAGTTATGAACAATTTTGTTACACTGCGAAATATAACCTAAAATTTTACCTATCTATTTTTAGGTTAATGACAAAAGTCAACAGTGTTTTATAACGTCCGCTATAATATTGATATTAAAATTTATATTGCACTAACGGCCATCTATTTATAATTATTATTAGCTATAACAAACAGGCGACACTGTGATAAATATTTAATAAGGCATTAAAATGTTAATCTATCTTTTTATTATCTGCGTTCCTCATCTTTTACATAAATAATGTAAACAATAACTTAGTTACTATTTGGTCGAG